GAGGTGGAGGTGGTGGGGGTGGGGGTGGAGGTGGTGGGGGTGGAGGGGTTGGGGGTGGTGATGGTGAGGGGGTGGGGATTGTGATGGTGAGGGGGTGGGGATGGTGATGGTGAGGGGGTGGGGGTGGGGGTGGGGGTGGTGAGGGGGTGGTTGAAGGACGGTGGGTAGGGAAAGGGACGCGGAGTTGCAGCTGCGACAGGCAGGTGGTGGGGCAGCAGACGTGCCGTGCGGCTTTCTGCGGTGTAGCAGAGGTAATGATAATTATGGTGGTAATGGTGGTGGTAGTGATAATAAAGATTTAGATTAACTTCGGGCCCTATGCCGTACGGACTGCCCTGCGAATGAAACGGGGGTCAAGTGGCTGCACCGGGGCCGAGCCCCTTTTCGGCTTTGAAAAGCCGGCCGTTTGAAAAGTCGTGTGGTGAGCTCTGATGCGGTCTGCGATTGCGCGGGGTGTGGTGGTATTGGGTTGAGCTGGTTTTGGTCACTTGGGGAATACTTTGGGGGGTGAGCGGGACGGAAGGGCGGCTTGGGGGCCGCGAGGAAGCTGTGGGAAGAGGAGGGGGTAGAAGGGGGGGAGGAAGAGGAGGGCGTCTCGTGCCGCTGTCGGTTTCGACCGACGCGTGGGGATATGCATTTGTCTGTGTGTATGTTCGTATTTACGTATGTATGTATTTACGTATGTATGTACATGTGTTTATGTCTGCTATGTTGCGCTGTGGCTTGAACTGTTCGCGACGCGGCCGTGAGAGAGAGGGGAGGGGGTGTGAAAGAGGGCCTGCTGTGCCCTTGACCTGGCGTGTGGCGACATGCGCCGCTGCATGTATGTATGTATGTGTGTATGTGTAGTACGTGTGTATATGTATGTATGTGGGTATGTGTATGTGGATATGCATGTGAGTACGACTTAGATTACACTGTGGGCCGCGAGAGCCGGGGGCCGAAGCCGAAACACAGCGCAAGGGTCGGGAGCACACAGCACAAGTCGGTTAGCCTTGTGTGCTGAGTATGTATGTGTGTATGTGTGTATGTGAAGCGTTGGGATGCGCTCCACGTTCAGTGGGATATGCACCGAGAGCACTCTTGCCGTTTGTCGGTGCAAGTCGGTTGCATCGACAGACGCTGATCAATGACCGTTGAGCCAATCTTCTTCTTTTCCTCCTGGAGCGATCTGGGTGGTGAATCTGGACTTTTGACTTCTGGTCGAAGATCGGAAACATCTACACCGAAGCGGTCAGGTCGGGGTTCTTCACACATGCACAAAGAAAATGCAAATTGCGCCCCGTCAACGTCTGTGTGCGGCATTCGGGAACCTTGTACCTGTTTGGGAATTAGTTTTTGGGAAGCCGAACAAAGGCGCTCTTTCACACGCACACGAGCACAAGTGTCTTCGCACTGCGAGCCGTTGCGGCGATGTCCAAGTTTTGGTGTTTTTTTGCGATGTCCAAGTTTTGCTCTCCGCTTTCTTTGGCTTCCTTTTTTATTATTTGGGGGAAATTGCGGGCGGGGGAGGTTTCGCCGCGGTGGCCCCCTGCTGCGCCTCGCCATGTGGGTTTACTTACTAAACTAAAAAAGGGGGTCCCAAGGATTTTTGAAGTTGATAATCCCTGCAGTCTGGAAAAAAACGTAGGTCGTTGGTTCCCTACTCAATTGCGTCGAAAACTCTGTGTGAACTTTTCTCTTTTGCCGCCTTGGAGAGGTTTTCTGTGAGCGCTTATGTTGTCAGTGGCGGATAAGAGGGCAGCTTTCGCGGCCTGTTCACGGACGGCCACGGGGGCGGCCGTGTGTACCTTGAAAAACAGAGGAGTCTGAAAAACACTCGTAACTCGTAAGCAGCCAGAGTACGAAGAGGAGGGGTCTGCAGAACTGCAAGTGTCTCGACGCCTCCTCGACCTCCGCGCAAGGTGATCATCCGGGGGTTCGGGTTCTTTTATATGGTTTTGATTCTCAAGGTGGCGTGTAGAGTGGTAATTGTGATGTGGTAATTGTGATGTGGTAATTGTGATGTGCAATTTAATGGAGTGGAGTGGAGTGTGCGATATACGGGGAGAGTATGATCAGTGCACGACTGTGTAGGCGAACTGAAGGGAACACGGTGGCACGATGTGCAAGTGTGTCAGTAAGCAGCGGCATTACATGAAGAGCCACCCGAAAGGTGGGCAAGAATTTAGATTTTTGAGGAAAAATTGGACGAGACAAATACTCTTCGCGCCACCTTCGGCAAGAATGTCGTAACAAGAGGCGCTGCGGCCGGGGCCGAAGCGCGGTGTTCAAATTCAATAATAAGAGAGGAAGCATGAGAGGTAAAATGCAAAGCGCAGAAACCGGGAAAATGTGCAATAGTGTGAAGTAGTGGCCGAGCATAAGACGGTTACAAAAGTTCACATGACGCAAATCGACCAGACATCTGGGGTGTGACGTCCGAAAAAGTGGCAACGCGAAGCGGCTAGCAAGGACAGCATGT